TATCGAGTCATATTACGAACGAAGTTGACACTGTGTTGTAGATTATTTTGATCATATTCAGACAAATTATGCCAACCATGATCGATTTGTAGTCGATCATATGGAGATAAACTTTGAATTTTAACAGTTACCTGAGCTTCAGGTTGTGTATTGAATACAAGAAATGTTATGGATGGAATTGGTGGTTGTGACTAAGCAAGAATCGGATCATAACCGACTATTGAAAAATCCAATGTTAATGCAGGAAATCTTGAATAGCAATAAATTTGTACATCTGTCCAATTCATATTGCTTGTCTTCAATCCACTATTTAATAACCATCCACAAGTATCAGCATCCCATGGCAATGCAGGCACTTGTTCAGTAGTTTCAAAAGCCATATAAATAGTCATTTGATCAGCAAAATTTTTTCCTACTTCTGCATTCTTTGCTAATACTTTGATACCCAATGGTTCCAACCATGTTTCAGGACCAACACCAGATAATTTCAAAAGTTTTGGTGTATCAAATACACCAGCACATAGAATGACTTCTTTTCTTGCAATAGCTGTACGTACTTCTCCTTTGTATTCATACGAAACACCAATATATTTTGTTGGGTCAGTTTGATCAAATAAAAGCTTCAAGACAGTTGCTGAATCCAAAATTTGTAAATTTGTTCGATTAACTACATTAAGATATGCATTCCATATACTCTCTCGTATAGTCGGAGAATTTGGATTTGTTCTATTCATGGGATGACGAAATTGTTGTTGAAAATAACGACCATATTGTCGAGTTTGATTATCATAATCTGACATAAATCTAATATCTTTATCACATGCTTTCATCATATCAAGCAATAACTCAGGCATAAGATTAAATAAAGGTGGAGCAATATCTACTAGACCATCTCGACCATGCCACATACGACAATCTTCTTCGGATATCCCAGTTAATGATGATGGAAGATAATAACAATAGTGATCTTGCATTTTCATCATGTAAGGAAATAAATCATTCCATTTCCATCCTAATGGCCATAATTGATCGAGTAAGTATCGAGATGGAGCAACAGCGGTCATGCTATTAATCATTGCTGTTCCACCGATACCATAATATTGAGGATTTCTCACTAAATGTCCAAGAAGATAATCTTGTGCCGCAGAAAAATAATTAGGATCATGTACACCACTTAGATCTTCATCCCAAGTATCATTCTGTGCAGAATTACGTGGACTACCGCGATCTAAAGCTAAGACACTCCAGTTTTTGTCTGGTTCACTTAGCTTGGCTGCCATAATGGATCCAGCTAATCCTACTCCTACGATAATGAAATCATATTCTTGACCAGTTATAAAAAATATGTAATTTATATAATATATTGGGTGTGGGTGTGGGTGGGTGTGAGGGTGTGGATGTGCATGTATGGATGTGTGGGCGCGGGTCTTCTCTTCATGCATACCCACACCCAGGGTGTGGGTGTGACTCTCATTGTAAATAACAGAAATATTCACACCCACACCTCCAAAGCCAAACCCACACCCACACACTCAGACCCACACCAACACACCCAGACCTACATCCACACCCCGCCACACACCCACATCCTCAATTAAATCAGTTGGTACTTTTCATAAATAGAATATTCATATTATATATTTTGTACAAGGGAGGGAGGAGAAGAGGATGGTATAATTTTGTTATAACCTGTTCTATAATGCACAAACATATTGGATGCTCAATTGAAGTCGACTCAAATTAATTTCAAAAGATTTGAAAAGTTTTTGCAAATGAACCAACTAGAAACTCGTGTTTATTAATAATATCTGTTGGAAAATTGCACTGTTGTATGTTTATTAGCATAAAGGAGTCTCAAAACATCGTTGCTTTCATATATTTGATAAAAGCTCAGTAAATTTCATGAATGGTTAGCTAAACAGGATATTATCGACCAAGTGTTGTTTTAGATATAGTTTCTTGAATAGCAAAAAAGTATTTTAGACGATTGGTGGAATACCTGCTAAGAAAAATAATGGATACATACATAGTTCTTGACGATATAAACTCACTTCAAGAGCAATTAATATATTTTCAAAAGCATTATCGAAATCCTTCGAATTAGTTTATATACATGTGTAAAATTCTTATGCAGAGCTTTATCCTCAAAGAGTCTATTTAATACATTGGATTTACTACAGAATGACATTTGTCATAATACAAACTGTTTTAACACTTGAAACTTTTGATAAAAGTGATGGGATTGAGAGATATAACTTCACAAAATAGTGTAAATCAAATGTTCCATCGGCGAGTATTTAAGCTTTGTAGTAAGACACTTATTTGTATGTAACGATTTTATTTCAAGACATTTTCAAAAGATTTTTGTATCAACTTAGATTGAAGAAAACAATTATGTTGCTCACAAACTGAATGAAAATGATCACGGTCTATTCTATTGACTACGTTTCTCGATAAAATATGGTTGACTTGTTCTCTTATGTGTCACATCTATTTTTTCTTTGTGCTCTTCTGTCATACAGCGGCTACCAAAATGATTTGGTCACCTGAGCTTAAGATTTTTTAGACCTATATCTCTTAGACGAATCAAGTTATAGAGCTCGGGTTTTCTCTATCCGACAGACTATGATTCTTACTACATATAAGTTTATCTTCAGTTCATAGTTTCGAGTTGTTCGCCTTTTATTTAGGAATAAAACAGAAATTATACAATTTTTCATCTTCCAAAATTATTCAGCCAGAACATAAAGAAATATTTTTTTGTACAAAAAAAGTTTTTTTCTCAATCACTTAGTATCTTATTGGATGGTCTTTCATACGAATCACTTCATTTAATCGATTTGGTGTTGAGTCCATTAATTTTTTCGTAACACCTTTGCCAATACTATGCCAAACGCGAAGCAACATGTCTTTTAAATCTTTTTCATTTTTGATTGTTCATTTTTCATTCGCTATTCGAGTTCGTTCCACATGTGTCCGATGGGATTGATGTCGGGTAAAAGTGATGAGCATTTGAGACGTTCAACTTCACTCTTTTCCAATCAATCAACTGCAATATACGATCTGTGCTTTGGGTCATTGTCCTATTGAAATATCCATTTGTTGCTCAGCTTCAATTTTTTCACTAATTCTAATAAATTCTTTTTGTAAAATATCACGATATATGTTGCCATTCATATTTTCATCGATGGAAACTAAATTGCCAATACGAGCGAATCAGAAACAACCTCAACACTTGGCATTTCCACCAGCATGCTTTACAATTGGAATAGTACATTTTGGATCGAACTCTTCCTTCGGCATTCGCCAGACCATAACTTTTCCATACGATCCGAATAAGTTAAATTTGCTTTCATATGACCATTAGACATCATTCCAGAAGCCAAGATATTTTTCACGGTATGTTTTGACGAGTGCAATACGCTTACCACGATTGGTCTTGTTGATATATGGTTTTTTTTAGGAACACAACCAAAAACACCGACTTCGTGTAATCGTCGGCGTACCGTTTGTTCGGAAATTATTGTTCCATGCTCAAATTGAAGTTCAACCTTCACAGACGATGCTGATTTTCGTCGCTCGACCTTTATTTACGCTGTGTAATTCGGCTTACATGTACTGAAATCTCACTTTTCGAGCTCGAGTAAGGATATTTCGAACACTTTTTGACTTTTAAATATTTTTTTTATCATGAAGTTAGTTGAAATACGAGGAATTAACATTTTTAGTAGCCATTTGACGTTCAAAATCACCATTCAACTGATGTTTAATAATAGTTTCTCGTATATCGGAAGAATACCCTTTTTCTTTCGATCCATTGTAGGATATGATTACAGAAAAACGTATAATGATATGTATAAATGAAGATGATGATAATCAAGTGTTAGAAATGACTACAGCGTTAAACTGAGTTGGAATAGGTTAAATCAACCTTAATAATTTGACTGATCACTTATGATGATAATGGGTGGTCGAATCATTTTGGAAACTAAAAAAAATGCATAATTTGTGTCTATATAGTAGAGACCATAGACTATGAGACAGAAAACTCGAGCTCTATAACTCTGTTCGTCTAAGAGATATCGGTCGAAAAAAATCCTAAGTTGATGTGCCCGAATAAGTTTGGTAAGCCCTCTATGTATATTTTTTGCTGTATTCCTCACTTACAGTGGCGCTGAAAATTATTAATACAACCAACGAACAACGATCTAATTCCAATATCTCTCCTTCAATTCAAGACATCGAGCTGTGGTTTTCACCAAAATGTATCTAAATATCGAAGTTATCTGTACTAAAATTTTCAATTTGATAGAGCATGTCTTGATGAAACAAGAATAAAAATATTGAAATTTTAGAATCATGATCTGACTCAAAACTATTCATATAGTTAATTTCTCATGAGAGAAATAATTTTATTTGTAATGATAGATTAGAAATCAAATTACTTCCGCCTATGAACTTCCCGGTTCTATTTCAGTTTTTCTATTTGAACACTAATAATTATAGTTTTCACAATTTCTTCTCATATACTTCAAACTTGAAAGATCAATTCAATTATTCAACGTTTCTGAAATTCCGGAAGAAACTACTGATGTGTGCTTTCGTAGCACCCTCAGCGAGTCAGATATTCTTGTGTGGATGTTTCCACAGAAGCTTGAATGCCTGAGCTCAACATTGGAAATTTGAAAAGTCGGAGATGCGTGTAGAGTTTATATGAAGGTGGATATGACGCGTATGTATATGATTTTTCTATTCAATGACACCCATACACCCAAAAAACCTTTACGAAAAATAAATGAACTACAACAGCAATAGATTAGAACAATAAAAAAAGATGATTCGTATTATTTATTCGGTTTTTCAGTTGATTCCATCTTATTAACTAATGTCACATTATTTGAAAAAAATATCAAGTTAAAATTTTTTTTCTCCCCAACAATTTCATAATTAGATGAATCTGAATGAAGTCCAACTCTCATATCGACTTGTTCCTTATTAGATTGATCAAATTCTTCAATGTCATTAGTCATAGCTGAACTCATTAAAACGCAAGCTCTTGCATCATCGTCTTATGTTTCAGGACAATCACTAGCACAATAATAACATTCACCTCATGTAGATTTTTTATCACATGATATTTGAACACGTAAGTCATCACATCGTCCATACGAATCAGATAATGATGAAACTAATTGTGATTCACTTTTATTTGATGATATATAAGTTAAACCAACAAAACTCATTTGTAAATCATCTTCATCCTGACGAGATGTATTCACTTTTTGTACACGATGACGAAATACATCAAAATCTTCCATGATTATTTTCACATATTTATGTGGCATCAATGAGTCCATCGTTTTTGATATTAATGTATGTTCGCTTAATAGTGTACCACGAACATTTGCATCGAATTATAATATTTTTCGTTTATCAAAATAAACTTACTATTACACAATTGATTGTAAGCCGAACGCATGTCGTTATATCCAAAATATGATTTAAATAAATGCCAATCATATTTGTTATTAGCTATAATATAAGATACATCTTTTGGGATGTGGGTGTGAGTTAGTGTGGAGTGTGGGTGAGGATGTGCGTGATAACGAAGATGATACGGATGCTTAAAACCACATGTCCGCACACACCCACAACAACACTCGAAATCGTATCTTGAATTTGTTCAAATTGTTGTTTGTAATCGTTATAAATGTTTTATTTGAATATGATATAATATACGAGGAAGGTATATTAACGGTTGTCAAGTAAATTGATCAATATTATCCAATCGTATTGAACGAAATTGATCTATATTTAATTGTTTAATTACACTTGATAATTGAACAGACATATATTCATGCTTTAAATCAATTCCATTTTTACATTTTTGTGACCATTGATCGATGTTTTCTTGAAAATTCCCAATCATTCGTTCATATGTTAATGTATGTAGTAGTCGACGTGAATCATTTATTTGATTATTAAGTATATGTCCTGCTGTTTGAAGTTCATGTTGATGTATTTTATAATGTTCTAAACATACTCCTTTAACACAATCTGAACAAACAAGAATATCCTATCGAGGGTGTGGGTGTAGGTAGGGTGTGTGTATGTGTGAGTGTGGGTGGGTGTGGAGTGGGTGTGGGTGTGTGTATGTGTGAGTGTGGGTGGGTGTGGAGTGGGTGTGGGTGTGGGTTTATTTAAGAAAAGAATACCGGTCCACACCCAAACCCATCCACACCTTCACATCCACTCACACCCACACCTCACCCTCAGTTACGAACATTTATTATTAATTATAGTATGATTAATGGCAGCGGTAAAGTCAATATGAATTAGTTTAAGTATCATAATCAATAAAAAGTTAGAAAACTAGAAAGGAGTACAAAGATGGTTGTTTGATGAAAAATATTAAAGAACAATGCTGCTCCGGATGTTCTTTGTAGACACAAATTTTCATCGGGTATTGGCGAATAATTTTCTTCGGTAAAACTACGATAGACTTGTCGATCATACAGCGGTTGTGGACCACGATAACTTTCGAAAAATAAATCATGGCGAAAATTTTCAAAATCATAATCCAAGATCAAAATAGGTCGTCTAAAAACGGTCCAAATGATATTTTCATCACATTCTGGAGTAGTCAACGATCCTTCGTATCGCCAAAATTGAGTTAAATCACTTTGCATGAGTACATTTAAATTTAGATCGATTGTAGTCGAATTATTTTCATAGATTAGTTGATGTGCACTATCAAAGAAATTTTGCCACTGTCGCTCCATTGCAGCAGATCTTGAGCTATTTCTCTCATGCACTGTACGATGTGCTGGTGGCTCGGTTCCCATGAAAAAGCTCAACACAGCACGCTGACCTGTTTCATTATGATTGTAAACAAAATGACTCTCACCAGCGTATTTAACACCATTTCTAAATGAATAAATTTGTCAATATGCAATTGAGCTTCATATTAAAAGTTATTCTTTCTCAGTAGCGTATTTACTGAAGTATATAGTAAAATAGAGTTTTCTCTAAAATCAAAAGCTATTATCAGTAATTCATTTATAAATAAAGCTTGGGAAGATAAATGGCAAAGAAAAACATCCTGAATTCGGGATTTTCTGAGTCACTGTTGAATTCTGTCAGTCACGGAGCTCTAAAAGAAAGATTAGTTGAAATTCATTAATTGTATTCACAGAATATCAGCAGATACGAAAAGGGCATAATTTACACCGATAACACTCATCACAAAATATCTTCATTTTCTTAGGATCAAAATTACGATTGAGCAACAGTAGAAATCGTTTGAGTCCTTTAGCAGATCCGTCACAATAGTACAGTCGGGTTATTGTCGTTCGAAAGGAATCATGATTGATTATTGAAAATGTTTAGAAACAAAGATGCAATTATGATACTTTAAGAATCAATGGGTCCTATACACTGATTAAAATAAAAACTACATATTAGTCAATCAACAACACGAGATCGATTTCTTAGAATTATTTTTAAATTCTTTCTGCTACTCTTTACTAGTTCAAATCCATTTTCAATTCAAACACTTACACCTGATGTTCGCTCCCACTATTGTGATTTGGCCCCCAATGAATATGAAAACCTTCAAAATTATATGTGCCCTGCAATTTTCCACCAGTTAATGTTATTTTTGTTGGACTATTCGGTGCTGCTATTATCGTATGTCCATTATTTGTGAGTTTGAACTTGATTTGTTCGTAATGGATAGATGTAAAGTTAAATAGTTCAAAAGCTTGATAAACGGTACATCTTGTTCGAATATTAATTGGTGATTGTTTTTTTCCACCACACGCTGGAAACATTTCCATCCAAACATCAGGCCCATGGTTGCCATAATCCCAGTTTGCACTGTCGATTGTATTAGCCAATATCAATAGTGGTACAAATAGAAATATCTTTAGATAATGCATGAATAATCTAAAATCGATTTGATTCTATGGCTGCTTAAACCTTGATAAAACCAAACGAAAATTAGCCGATATGAGGCAGACCTTAAATTCAACAGTGATATTGACTATATTTCTAATTTCAACAATATAGCTGCTACTTGAAGTAAACAGACCTACTAGAGAAGTGTTGATAGCATTCAAAAGATGGAAGGATCCTTTGCAACCTTTTTCATCCATGAAAATTTTAATCGTTTTCAGATTTCAAATATTTGAAAAGATGTTCGTTTGACGACAATCGCAAGAGTTCGTTCATAAGGAATTTGGAAAAGAAGGGAATCGTAACGCAAGTACAACGGTTCAATTAGAGACTACTCGATGCGAATGTAAATGTAAATGATTTTTTTGAAGTGTCATCGAACCGAACCAAACGCGATAGCAAAATTTAAATCAAAGTCGAATCGAACCAAAGTGAACTCACGGTTTCGATTATGACATCGAGCCTAGTCGCGATTGAAAGCAAGAAGCTATTATGCCGTTAGAAAGGGTAATAATAACTTTGTTGATCGTTTTGATGAGCTAAATTAAGCTTCATATATACAGATCTTTCTGTTCTTCACGGAAGTTACATAAAGTCTGTATATTGGAGTGAGTCATTTGTCTATGCCGAAAAAATCTTTATTCTGCTCTTTCGTAGATTTCACCATTTTCCCATTTTATGATAGAAAAATTATTTATGTTCCTGACAGATTGATATGAACGCTGTGTTGCTGCTAATACTATTATCATAGTGTTGAAAAATTCATAATCTGAAACTTTATAAACTTCTGCTGATGAGTGAAAAAAAGAAGAGTAAGAAAAACTAAATTGTTAAAGCTTCTTGAGAACTATCTAAGCTCTTAAAATCAATCCTTACGGCTCTTGAATCATTCTAATGTGAAAAATTTTGACCTCACATAGTGTTTTACACCTTTCATTAGTGGTTCTAATGCTTTCATGAAAATGAGAAATCCATTTAAGTGAGCACATGATGTATCCATATTTTCAACAAACTCAAGAGAAAAATGGAAGAAAATTCGTCAGAAAAACCTCTAGGACAAAAATGGATGCACTCTTCATCTGCTGTTTGTGATGATAAAACGCTGGGGCTTTTGTCTTGTTTCCATTGAAAGTAATTTACAATCGAACATTGCTGGATGACTTTAGGATCATTCAGCAGGTGAACATATAAATGCAAAACTGCTGCACTACTCAATTAGTAATTCCCAATAGCTTTAGAATAGTTATAGTGTTCGCTAACCCCAAAAATAAAACTAATGTATAAATAGTATATACGGATTATGTGGTGGACTTATTTTCGGATCAATATTTTGCAGTGGTTGATATAAATCCGTATCAGAGTGTTTTGATCGGTACTGAACCGGTGTGTAATAGGAAAATTGTATGATCTCATTATTTTCATTCGGAAAACTAGAAGACTCACTTAGAGAACCGAGATATAGTCCGCTCCAAGTTAACAAGAGTTCGATGTGCCACGCAAATTTTATCATAGCCTGTGTTAAAAACTTTTCACTGTGAAGCTTAAGTCAAGTAATAGCACACAGCAAGGCTCCCCATACTTGAGACATGATAAGATAAAATTGTTTTATCAGCACTAATATATGCAATGCAATGTCAGCTTGAGAAAACATTACCTATAAAAGAAGTTAGTGATAAGACTAAATACAACACTATCATTTTTGAGAACAAAACAAACATTAAAATACACCTGTTCTCAAATCGAGTGAACTCGAAATAATTCCGAACCATGTTTGGCTTGTTGTCCTTCTTGTCGACTGTAATTGATTTACTTTGATCTGCTTCTTTCAAAGCATGTCCATTTCAATCGTCTATCGAGCTATAAAATGTTGATATTCATGTTCCAAGCGTGATGGTTGTGGTGCTCAATACTAATCATATTCTACTTCAAGATCTTTCCAGTCATCAATTGACTTTTCGAGTTAAAATGATGAATTTTGAAAAATCGATTCTGATTCTTGCTTCGCTCTCAAGAACTTTAGTGGTGTCCGCGTGGGTTACAGTGACTGTGGAGCTAGGGTCTCAGATGTAGAAGTGCGCATCTGTGGAGGTAGATGTCAGTATGGGTGTGAATAGTATCGTAAGCTTTGACTTATCTCACACTCATACCCACAGCTGCATAGTATGTTGAACAACTCTTTCTAGTTTTACACCCTAAAAGAAAAGAATATGGAATCATACAGAAGTTTTTTTAAAAAAAACTACACCTATGAAAGATTGCGTAAAAAAAACAAGATGGGTCCAAAATGATTGTCGAAGTTGTATGGATATTTTTTGAGGCTTTCAAAACCGTCATACGAAACCATAGAAAGGTTTTGATTTCGTTGCAAAATTCAAAACTTTGGGTGTGGGTAGGTGTAGGTGTAAAAATATAGCAGCTATACCCGTAGCAACACCCACCACACCCACACCCACCCTCATTCGAGCAGCTGTGGAGTAGATGATGCCGCTGACCTACATTCTTAGTGGGCTACCTGCACATTAATTTCCAGCCGCTTAGCTCTTGTATGGACTGAGATTCGAGGGGGGGGGGGGGGGGGGTACTTTTGTAGAGTGGTGTAAAAGGTGTTTTTTGTAGAGCGG